TTGAAGAGACCGAACCTGGCTAACCCAACTGCCAGAGGGTGTGAACACTTACTTGGAACGGGTGAGCCCTGATGCATCCATTTGACATCCGGTTTGGGATGACCCTCCGCAGCGCAGCGGAACTGGATCCACCGGTCTTCGTAAGCTTCCACCGTCTTGTTAGGCGTATGCACGAACTTTGGAATGGCTGGAAAAAACAGAGAACGCGGTTGAGAAGGTTACTGGAAAATCAAACTGAGAATGAAGCATATCTCAAATAGATAAAACAGATAGCTTTATAGTTAACTCTGAATCCTCTGGTATATCGGTTGCGAAAGAATAAATATTAAGATTCTAGGGAGACTTTTGAAATGAAATACGAGGAGTTCCTACAGCTTTAAATGTCAGTGTGGAAGGGGTAATTGATCAAAGGTGGCACAAATAAACCGGAAAAGGGTAGCTAGAGGCCAGAATGACAGTCCACTGTCACTCAAGCTTTCAAAGTCAGTGATGAGGATCTGGCAATTAACTTACTTAGAAAACTATACTTTACAGCTTTAAATGACCTTAAAACCCAACCTAGGGGCTACCGGGATGACGATAATTTGTCGTACTAAATAAATGACGTAGCGGAGACAGGCATAAGGTATAGAGGCTTCGAGAGTGACGTAAACACTTAGCAAGTGGAAATAGAAAAGATCGAAAAGTCTTATTACTTCTGGTATAAGAACATTGTAAAGGAATGAGGGGTAGATGGGAACTTACTGAACACTGTCAAGAAGGTAGAGTCCATCACGAGCTCTTGACCAGGCGCTCGGGCCACGCAGAAGTAACTGCCCGTATCCGCAGGCTGAGGTGGAAAAATATGGTCAGTACTTAACTGCAAGTTTGTTTTTCCTCGTAGGATTAAATACTTCAAAAAGAACGACATATTAGACTAGTTCTATTAATAATAATCTCCTGTCCATCCTTAAGAGAAGCATAATGTTCGTGATAGGTACTAAACACAGGTTTTCGTCTGTGCTTAAGATCACAGTATCTATTAATTTGGATTTGAGTGAGCAGTAAGTTAACCTCAGCCAAAGTGTATGCATGCACAGCGTCCGTGGAAATAACACTGTGATCTGAAGCCCCTGAAACGTTTTATTAAGTCCTTTACATCACTGTGGATAGAAGTGAATGAAAGAAGGAAGCGGCCTCGGGAAGCCTTTAACTTTTATCCTTTAGCATCGGCAGTAGCACCGATAAAGCACCTCAGCGTTTTTGGGTTGGCGTTAGCTGTTTCTTCTGCGATCATCATACTAGGCTCAAGGAAGCAGAGGCAGATGGATAACTTGATGTAGATAGGTTTTTTGCGTTCAATTCGCACTGCACCCCCAACTACAGCAGCCTTCAGAATTTAAAAAGAAACTCCAGGAAGATGAATGCATTTTTCTTGAAATGAGCTACCCCAAGAATAAAAAAAACTTTGTCGAGGTAACCCACGTATCTGGTCATTTCCTGCACAATATTCAATTTAACTGCGCCACTAAATCCGCTGCAACGTAAAATACTACTTTAATAAATCGAAAACTGTACTTTGTTTTTTTCTGCTTATATGAATTGAAACAGCTTTCCTGGCGAAAGGGCATTGGAACTGCTATTTTTGTTACGGTACCGTCGTACAAGCTCTTGTGTGACAGTTTAGAATCGTAAAAAATGCGATACTGCAGCTATACGCGTTCAATAATCTAAATGTTATATGCATTGCTGCCCGCATTTTACCTCTGTCCACTTTTTCAGTCTTTTTGGCTAGTATTTCCTCAGAAGAAGGTCGCAATTTATTCTTCGTTGCCCTATACGGAAAGCTTGAAATCAAGGTATATGTCTATACACTGGAGACAGTTACCGTGTACTCAAATATAGGCTGAGGCTGAACCTGACTGACGACTAGAAGGAGGCAAATACGCAGTCATTTATGATCTGACTCACTCAGAAACCCGGTCATATATCAACCGAAGATCGCAAAAAACAATGGGTTGAATTCGATTCTACATTATCTGTCAGTTTGCTTGATACAATACTATTCTAACCGGTGATTAAAATTCGCTCCATTAGCTATAATGGGGGTATACGAAGTCACTTGATCGATATGTACATAGATCCGGCCAGAGTAGGGGCAGGAACGTGGGCTTATTAATATATTTTTATGTCAACTTAATAACTCTCCTGAAGCATAACATGATACTGTGCAAGAAAATTAATTTATTATATGGTAAGTTGTCTAAAAACAATAAGATGATGTAATCGCTGGGACAAGACTCCTATTCGCCTGACGTTTCGAAATCCATTACGGATCCTTCATCAGAGACATTAGCAGAAAAGGGGTAATTCATGCCCAGCGTCCAGCGATCACCTCTTCCTCTCAATTGCTTTCTGGGACTCGAATGTTCGCTTGTATTGGCAGTAAGTTGTCTGACGATTATTACCATCCAGGGAGGATTCACAATTGTAAATGAATAGAGAACGCTAATTTTGAAAGTATTACCTTCAAGTCATGAATTGTCAGTCGCGTTGGAGGATCGATTCGGGCCCGGGTTCCAAGTATAGCACCAACAGGCTGGTTCTTGAACTCCCAAGTCACTTCCGGCATTGGCTTTCCCTCGACTGTGCACTCAATGGTCGCCGTCCTGCCCTCAACACCCACGGTGGACGATGGCATCGAGACGCGTGGAGGACCT